TGGCTGCTTCTTGTGCTGGATTGGAGGTTCCCAGGAGAAGCCAAGCTGTGAATCTAGGCTGGCTGCTGCTAGTGCCAGGCCTATGGCCCCTTAGCAAGAGATATGGGGGTTGGGGGCTCACTGACACCACCCACTGCTTGTTTGAGAGGATTTAGGAAGTTGTGCAGCATGAGCCAAGACCAGCCATTCATATGGAAATGAATGGGTGGGCCTGTAAGTTGATGGGACAGAGTCTCTGGGGATCTCCAGAACAGGACAAACAGTGTGAACCAGGTTGATGGAGTCTCGTGGCTCTGTGGGTGGAGGGGTGAAAAAGGAACAATGGCCTGCCTTTCTGTCTGGGAGAAGGCTGTCCCTCAGCTCTCGCCTTGATGCCAGACACTTTACTTTCTCCCTGTATGCCACTGGTCCCTTTCAAGCTGCTACCCCAGTGCTGGAGCTCAGAGGGAGTGAGTATGATTAAGTCCATGTGTGGGTTCTTTAAGAGGAACTGCTTGTGACTCTAGAAGTTTCTTCTACTGACTCAATTCCCACTAGTTTTTGCAGCTAGAAGTTGTGGGGGCTTATCTTCCTGGCACTGGAAACTTTGGCTGGGGGGCCTGGTATGAGGCTAGGGTATCCCTCCCAAATCTCTGTCCACCACCACATGACCACACGTGGGTGAGGGACCAACCCATTTCTCCTCTGTGCCCCCTGCCCACCCTGCCTCCTACCAGTCTGGATTTTAAAGATTTTATTTATTTTTAGACAGAGGGGAAGGGAAGAAGAAAGGACAGGAGAGAAACATCACTGTGTGGTTGCCTCTTGCACACCCCCCACTGGGGACCTGGCCCGCAAACCAGGCATGTGCCCTGACTGGGAATCAAACCAGCGACCTTTTGGTTCACAGGCTGCGCTCAACCCACTGAGCTATACTAGCCAGGACTAGATGTGTTTTCTTTAATTCCATAGTTGTCAGACTTCCATGCAACTCGATTTCTGACATTTCTGGGTGATGACTGATCTATACTTTAGTTGTAATTTTGATGTGTAAGTGGTTGTGCGAGGAGGCAAGCAATGTTTACCCATGCCACCATCTTGACCGGAAGTCAGTATTAGAAAACATTAAAAAATAGACAAATGATAACTTTGAGGATGACATGAAATCAGCATATGTAGATGTCCTTTTAAAAATTTTTTGCAAATATAAAGTACATACATATTTTATGAAAAGGATTTGTTCAGAGGGAATGTACTTGAACTGTGATAGTAGAAAATAGAAGTGTGGAACAGAAGAACATTATAAATCACTACAAAGCATTCTGTAAGAACAGATACGCATGTACATATGTATCCTCCCACCAAAAGAAAATGAGACTGGGTGCTGGACCACCTTCTTTAAACTGAGATTCTGCTTTTAATCCTCTTGGGTATGTGCCCAGAAGTGGAATCGCTGGCCCATGTGGTAATCCTGTGTTTAATTTTTGAGGAACTGCCATAGTGTTTTTTCCACAGTGGCTGCAGCATTTTACATACCCACGAGCAATGTACAAAGGTGTCAGGTTTCTCTACCACCTCCTCACCGACACTTGTTGTTTTGTTTTGTTTTTGTTTTTGTTTTTATTATTTTTTTTGTTTTTTTAAAGAGTAGCCATCTAGTGGGTGTGAGGCAATATCTCATTGTGGTTTTGACATGCCTTTCCCTAATGATTAGTGATGTCGAGCACCTCATATACTTAATGGCTGTTTGGATGTCTTCTTTGGAAGGATGTCTGTCTGTTCAAGTCCTTTGCCCATTTTTGAATTGGATTGTTTGGTTTTTTTTGTCGATCAATTTTAGAAGTTCTGTATATGCTGTGGATATTAATCCCTTACCAAATACCTGGTTTGCAAATATTTTCTCTCAAAGGGTTGCCTTTAAAAAAATGATTTTGTTTACTTATTTTTAGAGAGAGGGGAAGGGAGGGAGAAAGAGTGGAAGAAAAATATTGATGGGAGAGAAATGTCGATTGGTTTTCTCTTATGTGCACTCTGACTGGGGACTGTACATGCAACGCAGGCACGTGTCCTGAACGGGAATTGAACTAGCAACCTTTCAGTTTGTGGGAGGATGCGCAACCTACTGAGCCACACCGGTCAGGGCTGTGTGTTGACCTTTCACTCCACTGATAGTATCCTTTAGTACACAACATTTTTTAATTTTCATGAGGTTCACTTTTAAATTTTTTTCTCTTGTTGCCTATGCCTTTGGTGTCATATCTAAGACCTCACTGCCAAATCTAGCATTGTGACGCTTTCGCTGAGCTACATGTCTGTGTTTTTCTTTTTGATTTGTAGGGTTTCTTTACATATTCTTGGTACTGATCCTTTGTTAAATATGCGGCACATACTTCATCCTATCAAATTTGACACCATTATTTCATGAACTGCCAAAAAATGATTAAAAACACTGTTAATTAAACAATTGCATGCTGTTAATTATTATATGTATCCCAATTTTAGAGAAGTTAAAATGTGAAAAAAATGTGTATCTTGATACTGACTGATATATTCCCCATCTCAAGGCAGTCATGAGTAAAATTAGGTTAAATGCAAAAACAGAAAGTATATCATGGAATTAAATTCTCAATTTATGGTGAGAATTGGGACAGTGAAAAGACTTTCACTGTCTTTGTGCTTTTTTTCTTTAAAATTTTTTTCTTGCCCTGGCTGGTGCAGCTCAGTGGATTGAGTGCTGGCCTGTGAAGGGTCACAATTTCAATTCCCAGTCAAGGCACATGCCTGGGCTGCAGGCCAGGTCCCCAGTAGGAAGCACGTGAGAGGCAACCACACATTGTTGTTTCTCTCCTTCTCTTTCTCCTTCCTTTCCCCTTTCTCTAAAAATAAATAAATAACATCTTTAAAAATTTTTTTTTCTCCAACAGAGAAGTTGATAGAAAGCTCTAATGACCTTATGTGCTCTTGACCTAGATTCATCTGACCACATGTGCACTGTTTTCTGTGCACATACACCACACTTGTTTTGGCTGAGCCTTTGAATGTAGTTGCTGCCGTCACTTCTGGTGTCTTTTGACGAACAGAAGTTTTCCTTCCGTTCTCAATGATCACAAAGACGGTGTATATTTTCTTCCAGAACATTTCAAGTTTCATCAAGCCCTTAAAACTCCTGGGAATTCACTTTTATATTATGAATAGGGATCACACTGACTTTTTTCTAGGATACAATATTGAGAAACAATTGCGTTTTAGTGAATTGTGGGTTCTTTTCCAATCCTCCTTTTATGTGGCTGGGACTTGTGGATTTTAGAGCAGTACTCTGGCAGAGTTCCTTTCCTTGTTTCAGTTTCTTAGCTGGCTAATTAATTCACTAATTTTCAGCCTCTATCTGTTTATAGCAGTTAAGGCTATAAATATTTTCTAACTCCCATTCTGTCTGCTGCAAAGTTTTGACTTGTATTTCCATTATCATGCAGTTCTGGGTATTTTATGTTTTCATTGTGAGTTTTAACCTTTTAAAAAAACTTCAAACATGGAACTAGAAAAAAATTCTTATTTATTTCTAGCTTAATTGCACTGTGGTTACAGAAAACGGTCTATTTGAAATAAGTCCTTTTATATTTGTTAAAACTTGGCTTATGGCCTAGAATGGGATCAGTGTCTGTGGCTGCCCCGTGTGTTCTGGGAGAACACATGTTCACTGCCTCTCCGTGTGCAGTGAGTTTAAATCTCCCTCTGGAGGAGAGGTCTCAATGTCGGTAGCCTTTACAGTTTTCTTTTGATTAGTATTTATTAGTCTTTGTAACATCTCTTTTCTTTCAACCTTCCAGTGACCTCATGTTGAGGTATGTCTAAAAAACACGTAGCTGGGTCTTTTCAGTCAAGTCTGACCATCTATGTTGTTAACTTCGACATTTAATCTGCCTGTGATTATTGTGATTAGACGTACTTGGCCTTGTTTCTGCCATCTTTTTTACTTTATATCTGTCCCTTTTCTGTTGTTACTGGTGACGTTGGCTGCCAGTCTAATTGTTCTTCCTTTCTAGGTGCTCTTGGCTTAACTCCCTGGCTGCTTTGCAAGCTCTTTGTGTTTGGTGTTCTCCAGTTTCACCAGCATGTCTAGGTGTGGATTCCTTTGTGTCTGCGGTTCACTGTCCTTTGTGTGCGGCATCCGTCTTGCAGACTTCTCAATGCTTCTCTGGCAGTGGCCCTCTCCCCCTTCATTCCCTCTCTCTCTCTCCCCTTTCGGGGCTCTGACCTGATTTTTGCTGGACTTTATTCTGTCCTTACCTCTCCGTCTCCCTTCATCTTCCCCACCTGCTTGTCTTTCTGAGTTGGAATCTGAGTAACTGCTTCAGATCCAATGCATGAATTCTTGTTTGGCTGTTTCTAATTTCCTGTTTCATAACCTATCATTCCAGTAATTATATTTTCCCTTTGGAAGAACTTAATTTGGCTTCTCTGCAAATCTGCCTGATCATCTGAGGTAGTCTTGTGTCACCTGTTCTGTGATTCCCTCAGTCAGCTTTTATTTCCCTCAGTCATTTCATATGTAATTGATAACACCATTTCTGAATTTCTCTGGGGTCGACACTTTTCTTTTGCTGACCCTCCTTTCTGGTGATTTTTTTCCTTGTGTGTTTGGTGATTTTGGTTGTGAGTTCATGTTTACTTGTTTTTGCTCCGTGGAAAATCTGGGGGCCTGAATTGAGGGTCCCTCCCAGGACTCCGGTTTCCTCCTGTGGGAGCCCATTACGCCCCCCGATTCCTGGTGTGGTCCTGTGAGCTCCTGTTCAGTGCTCCTTTCCCGGTGTCCCCCAGTCCAGTCAAGGGTCTGCCTGGCACTTTCTCCTGTTCTTTGAAAAGAGCCACAGGTCACTAGAGCACTAAAGCCCCGGGCATGGGTCCTGGCTGCCACCAGCGCGTTCCTACCTGAGAAGCAAGAGACATCTTGGAGGTGGTTGGAGAAGGCTCTGAGGCCCCAGGGGTCTACTCTACCCCACCCTTCTCCTTGTCTTCACCAGGCCTGGCCAGTGTGACCCAGAACTTGGAGCCACTTCTGAAGTCACAGGGCTGGGACTGGGTGTAAGTCCTGGGAAGGGAGAGGGGGCAGGGGCAGGCTGTGCCCTGCTGGCAGGGGCTGACAGGTGATGGGGTTTCCTGACCCATCTCTTCTTCCCAGGCTTCCTCTGGTCAAGCTGGCCATCCACATGGGGCTGGCGATCCTAGGCTCCATGCTGGGCGCCTTCCTCACCTTCCCAGGCCTGCGGCTGGCCCAGACCCACCGAGATGCACTGACCATGTCGGAAGACAGGCCCGTGCTGCAGTTAAGTGGGGAACTGGGTGGATGGGAGGTTAGGGAGCCTAGGGGAGAGGATGAGGAGATGGTAAGTGGCTAGGCCTCACCCCGCTGTATCCTTGCCCCCAGGTTTTTCCTGCACACCAGCTTCCTGTCACCCCTGTTCATCCTGTGGCTCTGGACCAAGCCCATTGCACGGAACTTCCTGCGCCAGGCACCCATAGGGGGCGCACCCGTCTCCCTGTGCGTATGTGGGTGGGGCCAGGAGGGAGCGCAGCTAGGGGCCCATCTGTGTACTCCAGTCTCTGAGGCTCAGGGAGGAGCCTTGGGAAAACTGTGGGTCCTGGGGAAAGGCCCTGGGGCAGAGGGGGGCCTCATTAGCCCCCTCTACTGTGCAGGCTGTCGGACTCAGCCTTTGACTCACTGCGCCTCTGGGTATTGGTGGCAATGTGCCTACTGCGGCTGGCAGTGACCCGGCCCCACCTGCAGGCCTACCTGTGCCTGGCCAAGGGCCGCGTGGAGCAGCTGCGGCGGGAGGCTGGCTGCATCGAGGCCTGCGAGATCCAGCGGCGGGTACGGGTGCCTAGAGGAGGGAACCTGGGGTGCGGGGCAGGCCTTCCAGTCCTCCCAGGCATGGGGCCAGCCAGCATCCAGAAGGTCACCTGCTACCTGCTTCCTGTCCACCAGGTGGTACGGGTCTACTGCTACCTGACAGTGGTGAGCCTGCAGTACCTGACGCCAGTCATCCTCACCCTCAATTGCACACTTCTGCTCAAGACGCTGGGTGAGAGGAAGCGGCCTTGTGGGGAGAGGGTGGGCTGCAAGTCCCTAAGGCCACCCTGGCCTCAGCCCCCCTCCCTATCCTTCCTTCCACCCCTCATCCTCCTGCCCCTCCATCCCCCCATTCCACTCCCCTCCCTCCACCTATCCCCTCCTCCACTTATCCCCCCCACCTATCCCTTCCTCCACTTCTCTCTCCCTCTACTCTCTTCTCACAGGTGGCTACTCTTGGGGCCTGGGCCCGGCCCTCCCTCTGTCCCCAGTGCTGGCAGCAGCCCAAGATGGCTCAATGGGCCCCAAGGAGGACGAGGCCCAGCAGGCAGTGGCCCGGATCACTGGGGCCCTGGGTGGCCTGCTCACACCCCTCTTCCTCCGTGGCACCCTGGCCTACCTCGTCTGGTGGACTGCTGCCTGCCAGCTCTTGTCCAGCATCTTTGGCCTCTACTTCCACCAGCACCTGGCGGGCTCCTAGCCACCTGAAGACACTCCTAGGGCCCCGTGGTGCGTGCCTCCGTATATCCAGGTGCAAGTGGGCCTGGGAGTCCCCACTGTGCTCACCTCCTCGCTGCAGTGCCTGAGCGGGCCCCCCTGAAAGCTTCTGTCTTGAAACTATATCCTAAGGCTGGTGGCAGAGGGCCCCTCAGCCATTGTTCCTGGATTGCGTGTGGACATTCAGGTTTGACAGCAGAGCAAGGGGGCCATTCCTCTGCATAACTGTGGGGCGGCATTTTACAAACAGGGAAGCCAAGGGAGAGAGGGGTGCGTGAGCCCGTGGTGCTGGGCTGGCCACAGTGGCTACTGCCCACTGCCATAGGTGCATGGGGACTGCTTTCCTATAAAGGATGCACACAGGCCAGTGGGCACATTATTGAGGCCATGGTGACCCAGGGGACAGAGGATGAGGGGCCTTCTCCGACTCCAGCATTTTTCCGTCACCATGGCTGCAGTGGGATTCCGGTATGTGTGTGTGTGCGCAAGCGCGTGTGTGTGTAACAACATGTGTGCGGCTGAAAAGCCAAAATTCAACTGAGTAAATTTTAATGATTTTAATTGGCTTTATTCAATGACTCATGAATCAGGCATCTCATGCTTTTGTTATGTGGATAAATATGAAAAGTGTATTAAAAACAAGGGTTAAAACTTGGGTTGAGGCCAACTAAACACATCATCCAATTCTGATCCTTCTCAAACCCCTAACTACAGAGGCTTCAGTGTGTTCCAGAAGGTGGAATTAAGGGAGGAACCACAATTGACTGCTAAACCCTAAGGCCAGGAAACAGCCTGATTTACCTGTAGAACCTTCCAGAGGCACTGAATGGACCAGGTCCTAATAGGCAAGGCTGAGGGAGCAGGGAGACAGGGAGGCCACTGGCGTGGAAGCTGTTGGAAAGTTCTCAGGTGCGTGTGTCCCTTCCACACCACCACTGCACAGCCAGGAAGGAAGCCAGGCTGGCAGGGAGTGTGGTAGCAAACAGGGTTAGGCAGCTACACGTACAAATGCTAAGTGGAGAGTGCCACCATCCCTCACCCTGCCCGTGGAATTCGGAACCTTCCAGGTGTGAGACTGAAGAACCCTGGGGATTCCCACTGGTCCAGGAAGGATCTAATGACAGTGGCGCCACAGAGTTCCCATCAGCCACCAGCTTAACTGTGAGTCCATGTGTCCCCCACACTCACTTGGTCTTCCACCCTGCTCGTCTCGGCCATATTCCTCAACCAGGAGGACCCAGGGGTCTGAGGAAGTGTCCAGTGTGGGGAACAGACCCGAACAGAAAAAAAACAACTTTGGGAAATGAACTCTACGGGGGGAAGAGAACTTAAAGAACAGTCTAGAATGTTCTTGGAGAAAAGAGATTGTATTCATGAAACAAGAATGCTACTGCAGCCTTGGCTGGTGTGGCTCAGTGGATTGAGTGCTGGCCTGTGAACCAAAGGGTCACTGGTTTGATTCCCAGTCAGGGCACATGCCTGGTCGTGGGTGGAGGGTGTGTGAGAGGCAACCACACGTTGATGTTTCTCTCCTCTATCTCCTTCCCTTGCCCCCACCCCAAAATAAAAGATGTAAAATAAAATTGTAGAAATCTTACAGAAGGAACAACAAGATAAAAGATAAGCAAAACAGCTGTGGCTGGTGTAGCTCAGTGGATTGAGTGTGGGCTGCAAAACAAAGGATCACCAGTTCGATTTTCTTTCCCTCTCTCCCTCCCTTTCCCTCTCTCTAAAAATAAATAAAATACAACCTTTAAAAAAATAAGAAGAGATTTTATTAAAAGATAAGCACAACAAGAACTGATCAAGAGGAAATTAGAAACTTGGCTCAAAGAAGAATCTCCAAAATAGTGCTCTGTCAGGAGAGACCCGAGCGGACGCTGACGGGCACTTTGTGGGGTGATGCCATGGAGGAATGCAGAGGGGGTTCGCCAGGGCCAAAAAGTTCCAGGGCCTTTTGCTGCCTGATGCTGGGTGACAAGAACCCTGTCCCGAGGCATGTCTGAGAAGCCTGGAACAAAGCCAGCTCCCAGTGAGAATGGAACAGGCCACACCTAGTGGCCCAGGAATCAAAGTTGATGAGTGTCATCTTCCAACTGTGCAGGACCTGCACTACCTGGCACTTTAGGAGTCACCAGGGACTCCCTGTCAGCTGACACCTGGGAGCCTCAGAGCCCACTGCGCACAGTTCTTCCTGCAGCGGTGCCAAAGGCTGCCTGGCCCCGCTCTTGTCCCACCACAGCTGTGCATGCTCACTGCTTTGGAGCTCAATACCATGCGGTCTGGGGACACAGGAAGGGGGACACGCCACAGACAAGGAGTGACAGACACAGATGTCAGGCACAATGGGGTGGGTGCAGCGCTCGTGGGGCAGCCACAGCAGGAAGAACCAGTGACAGTTACAGCCCTCACTGTCATGCATCAAACCGCAGAAACATTTACAGACTCTTTGTGGCATATTTTGCACACACAATGAAGAAGCTAAGAATGAAAAAATACGGTGGAACCGCAGTGAGAGAAAAATAGGGAAGCCTGAAGGTGGTGGTAAAAACCCTGCATTTTCAGGGAGAGGTAAGTATTTTAGTTTTTGTTGACACGTCAACAGCAACTACCACGTATCGGTCCTACTCAGCGACACTATTCAGTGTCTGGAGACACTTTCGATTGTCACAACAGGAGGGAGAGAGGCCAGGGATGCTTCCCGACACCCCACAGTGCCCAGGACGGTCCCCAACACAGAACACCCTGACCCCAGACATCGGTAGCACTGAGGCTGAGAAACCTACATCACAAGAAACAGACTATATAATTTCCAAACCAGCTGAAGAAAAGGAGGCAAACTTAAAAAACAAACCCCCAAAACAAATCAAATGTTTAACTCAAGAAACAGCCAAGGAGAAAACTAGTGCAAAGACAAGACCCCACAAACTGAAACGGGACTTGGGGTGTGCCCACGTGCATCTGCAACAAGGTCACTTTGTCAAGTCCTCTGGCATTCTGCTTACTGCCCCCACCCCACTAGTCCCTGCCTGATCACAACCCGCCTCCCTGGCTGCCACTGCATTCTCACTCACCCCCCGCAGGCTCCTCGCTCCCTTCTCCCCGTCTCTCCATCCTTACGTATTTGTCAGCAAACCCCACTTCCATTTCTGTGGCCCTCAGCGTCTTGGGCAGCCTCGCCAGCATGTCCAGTGCTCTTGACCTTCCCCTACAACCCCTCAGTCACATCAGCTCCATCTTTTCTGTTACCTTTCTCTTTCTCCTCATACCCAGCCTATCGGGAAACCTGGAAACCAGCAATATCTTAAAAACCACTGTGACCCAAACATCCACCCTGCCACCACCCTGCTCAGCCTACACTGCTTGTTCCCTTTGCAAATGACTCTGCTCAGCGGCCAGAAAGGGTCCTATGAAAGGCCCCAGTCCTACCTGAGACCCTTCATTTCCTGAGGAGCTGCCTCAGTTTGGGGGCATGAGGGCTTTGAAGGGTGCCCAGCTCTTGAGGGAAAAGCCCAGACTTCCTGCCATGCAATCTCTGCTAGAACAGCTGGGGAAAGCCATATGGGCCACGACTTAGAGAAGTGCCGCGGTCCGGCCGCAGCTAGGTCCAGGGGTTCCTGAAAGGTGGGTAAGGCGTTGGCGATGGGAGACAGACGACAACATGCCTCAGAGGACAGTGATGCTCTGTTCCATTTATTACAAGTACAAGCAGGTTTTTATACTTTCATTTTTAGCAGTGATTGACATTTGCGGTTAGGTGAAGCAGAAAAAAATCAATACAAAGGTAACCAGGAAAAATACAAAAATTCCCATAGATTCAATTATATTAAACAAAGATTATTTTGACCAGGAGAGCCATAAATTAGACAATTAAAAATAGCTGTACATACAGAATTTGAATGTCTTATTGTTTATTAAAGTTCTCAGAATTTATCATGGGGCAAAAGGATATGCTAGATTGAATAGAGGTTATAGGAAATTTATTATAAGGCCTTTGCGATGTCTAACTTAGCTGTTTACCTTTTCTGTCTAAAATATTTCTCTATGCACCATGGACTCTGACTCCCTGGTAACTGTTTCTACGTGCTTAATTTATAACAGTTAACCAACTTTTCTTATTTCTTTGCCTGTCTAATTCTACTTGATATATATTCCTATTCAAGGTAAAGGCGGGGCTGTTACTCCAACAACTTTTAGACATTCAGGGGCTATTTCATTAGAGGGGATTTTATTCTCTGGTCAAGAAATTATTTTATACAACTTCATTGGAATTATGTGAATCAATAAACCTGAGATACAGGTATCTAACAATCCCACCACCTTTTGATCACCAAAACAAACATGTAAGAAGAGGTAGACAGGAAATTCAGCTACAGTAAACACTTTTTGTTCCTTAGTTAATAAACACCAGGGAGGTCTGCTTCGAGCTAGCCTTTCCATGAAATTTAGACTATTATAAGGCACTTGGACTCCATCCTTATTGACCATTCTAATGCCACCCTCATTATATGCTCCTGTATAAGGCAATGGGGGATCTGGAACCCTCTGGGGACTATTAGCTCCTTTTGGGGGATACCATAATTTGCCAATAATCTAATATGCTACTCAGGGGTATCTCTGGGCTGTGGGTAGGGGTCTATATAGTTTTTTTCTTGTTTTCTTTAAAGACTCTTTGTATCTATGGGTAAGGAACAGGCATGGGAAAGTCCGCCAATAATTCAACCTGTTGTAACTGATTCATGAATTCTTTTATGGGAACAATCGGGGATAATTTCTTACTCAAGTTTATAAACACCTTGTTTAAAACAATTTGGGCATGATTCAATAGTCTAGGGAGAACTAGTTGTCCCTTCAGAATTTCCCTCAAAGTTAACTGTTGACGCACTTCGAGACTTTTTCTTCTCATGGCCTGTTCTTATGGGAATCAGGGTACAAAGTAAGACCATGATCAATATTAGCAAGGAAATTATTAAGAGCAATCCCCAGGAAAATTACTGCCCCCCTTTGTATGCCACGCTCTCTTCCAGGAAGATAGATTCCTTGAATTCCCTCTTTCCACGTTCAGACCTTGTCAAAAAACATGGTTGGAAGAGGGCGTGGCAGAGAAGGACCAGTTTGCCAGCGGCTTCATCCATTCTAACTGCTGTGACACAGTGCCATAGCCTGGGTGGCTGACAGTAAAGGAAAGTGACTTCTCACTGTTCTGGGGGCTGGAAGTTCAAGCTCAGGGCACTGGCATGGCCAGGAGAGGACCTGCTTCTAGGCTGTAGATGCCACTTCTCATACAGTGGAGGATGGAGAGGGTAGCCAGCTCTTTGGTGTGACTCTTGTAAGGGCACCAATGCCATTGTGAGGGTCCCACCCTCCTGCCCCATCTGCCCCTAAGCACCTTCCCAAGCTGCACTTCCTAACACCACCGTGTTGGCTTTAGGTTTCAGCATAGGGATTTGGGGAGCTGGGGAGACATTGGTCCATGACAGTCTGGAAGATAAAATAGCCAGGACCTGGGCCCCCCACAACATCATGGAAAACAACACAGGCTGAGAAGGCAGAAGAGTCACAACCAAGGCAAAGACAATATGATCGTAATAGGACACTAGGATTATCAGAAGTCATCTGGAGGCAATAATTTCCTAGCAAATTGCAAATTAGGGATGTGAGCCTGGGTCTGGTCTCCCAGGTTGAAGGCAGATGCCAGGGCTGGGCCTGGGTAGCTCTTGGTCCTACCCCTTACCCAGAGTCCTCTGGAACCTCAGCCTACACACTGTGCATCCAGACCCGAGCCTGGCTCCCTGCCCAAGTTCCCGCCTCCCCCTTCCCGCATCTGCTCAAACACCTTTCTCGGCTCCCCAGTGCCAATTTCAGGGCTGCTGCCTGACACTCACCCTGTGGGGAATTCCCTGGCCTTGGGGCTTTCCCCAGCACCCCCGGTGGGGTCTTTCCTCCCCTCAATTGCCCTCCAGGATTCCACCTGCCTCCTGGGCTCCACAGCGTATTTTTAGATGTTTTGCATCACGAACCAGAGCATCATCACGCATCGTGTTGCCCATCCCAAGAGCCCCCCAGGGTAGACACAAATCTGGGAACCTTGACTCAGCACAAGGCCCATCGCACATGGGGACTGGGGGGCAGTTGCATGAAGAAGCTGCAGCCACTTCTCTCCAGTGTGTCACTGTCACACCCATTGCTGCCTTGCTGGGGCACAAAAACACAAAATGCAAGATTCCTGTTCACATCACTCGAGACCATCTTGCCTCAACCACTAGGCCTGCTGTTGTGGGCGGCAGTGTACAGAACGATTAAGAGGAGAGAAATAAACGTCCAACACTCATGAAGAGACGCCCGGCCTTGAGAGGGATCACGGGAAGATGTGACTAAAACAGTAAGGAGGTACTGCTGGCACCCCTAAGCAAGGAGTCAGGCTGCCAGTCAGGATGTGGCCTGAACCCTGCACAATGCCTGTTGGCACCTAAGTTTACACAGCTGGGCTGGGGAGCACTCTGGCGGTGCCTGGAGTCCACTGATCACAGTTGGCTGGCCCTTCAGGGACACATCCTGGGAGATTCTCACTGGTGTGTGCAGGGGCCAGAGTGGCAGTCACAGCATCATTTCTGAACTCAAAAAGCTGGCCCAGGAACAAGTAAATACATGGGTTAAACAGTAAATAAGTAAATACCGAGTTGCTCACCACCTCCACACGAGGCTCCCACTTCTGCCTTGGACAGCATGCCCGAAATGCCATGGCCACTGGGGACCTTTCGTGGCCTCACCCTCCTGCATCTGAAGACAGCAGCATGTGTGCCCAAGGCCTCACCCAGCTGCGGAGCAGAGCCCCCAGCACAGGCCAGATGGTGCAGGAGAGAGAAACCTCAGGCCTTTGGGGCCGTGCTTGCTGAGCAGGACACAGCCCACCCTGACCGACCAACGGCCCTGACCTGTGTGCGCACAGGTCTCTGGAAGGACACGTGATGAACCGATAGCAGGGACGACCTTGCAGGCGGGCCTGGGAGACCCACTTACTCGGTAAAGGCTTTCATGCAGTTTTCGTGTTCCGGAAAACTGTAGTAGAATTAACAATTCAAACAATTGCATTTTTAAAAAGTTTTATTCACGACTTTATTCAAAAATCTGTCAAAATAAATTCAACCCTGTTTTTGGTGCCTGGTGGAGCCTAAGAAAAGAGACATGGGCAGGAGGAAAAGTCATTTTAATTTTTATTAAATATACTCTCTTGGCACAAATCTTTAAAATATATAAACATTATTTATAAACAAAGTGTCTTCATGGCATCAAAATAACTCCAGACCGGGACAGGCAGCCGGTGGGGAGGGGTATGACCATGGAGGGTGCCAGCCAGGCCCTGTGTGGGGGCTGGGGGAGTGGTGGTGGCGCTAGTGAGGCCCAGGGGCTGGGAGCCACCTTGGGGAGGCACATGGGAGACAGCAGGACCTGGAGGGCCGTCCTACTGCTGCCCACCCTGCAGCTCAAAGGAGGGTGCCGCCTAACCAGCCACCTGGTCTCACTTGCCTGGGGTGGACCCCCAGTTCCTGATGCTCTCTCTGGCCCAGGGCCCTTGGGCCTCCATCCTGTCTCCCTGTGAAGTGTGCCCCTGCCTCTCCTGAGCACTGGGCAAGACTGGGAGTGGTGAGACACCCAACAGGACAGGATCACAGGCTGCTTGGGCCCCTGGGGACAAGAGTCTGGGAATGATACTAGGGCTGGCCAGCGAACACATGCAAGAAAAGGCACCTCACAGGTCCAAGGCAAGAACAGACATGGAACAGAACGAAGAAGTCACAGTCACGACTGGAAATGCACGTGAGGCAAGCACACAGACCATTTCTCACATTGTGGGCTGGGCCAGCCTTGTCCTGACACCAGACTGGGCTGGTTAGGCACAGGGTCGGCCAAATTTTAAAACCAAAGTCAAGAATCTCCAAACATCATTAGGAAATGGGTGTTTCTGAGTCCCTGTGACACAGAGGGGGCCCAGGAACTTCTCTGCAAGACCAGATACTTGGGGGTGTCCTATGGTACCTCGAATCTCCTGAGCTTCCTACCACAGGCCACACACTGACATGGGCTTTCATTTGGGGAGGATTGCAGCTGCCAGCCACCACCATTCATTCCATTCATGGAAATCAGACAGCCCCGTAGTCCTTAAATTTCCCCATAACCAGGCCAAGCACCCGCTCAAGTGGGGAGCCAAGGATGTACCAGATGCTACAGGTCCCCCCAGACGCCCACGGGTGCTTATGGGCTGAGGGTCAGGGCCCGAGGCTCTGCCTCTGTGAGTGCAACTGTGGGGCATCCTACAGAGGGGAGGACTGGCCCCAGGGCCCACCACGGTGTGGAGTGAGGATCAGGGTAACACTCAGAGAAGGCTCCAAAGCAGAAGGCTGTGGGAAGTGGGGAGTCATGTCACCGGGGAAATAAAGGCAAGACAGTGGTGGGGAGGGGCAGGGCAGGCAACAGGCTGCATTTGTAGCCCACGCTGAGTAGGAGACTGGTCCCATCATGGACAGGCAAGGCAGACTCTCCCACATTCTCCAGCTCCTCTGCTCTGAGCACGGACGGGGCCAATGGGCAGGAGTCTGGCTTTGGGCCCAGGGGGCACAGGCTCACAAGAACCAGGAGCATGTCCAAGAGCACAGAATGCCAGGAGGCGGCACTGGTCACTCTGGTATCAGGGTGTTGGGGAGGCAACTCTGGGAGGCAGGGCCAGCCCCACAGGAGGAGGGAAGAGGAAAGGGGGGTGCTCACTTGTTCCAATACTGCACTTCAAGGGCCCCTGGCTTTCCTTGAGGACCCATGGGCGCTGATCCCAGGCCCCCTGGCCCACCTGCTTGTTCCACAAGGCGCTCCCATGTGGCTCTGGGTCAGAGCCAAGGGTTCCCTCACTCCCCAGTCTCCCAAACATTAGGGGTCAGCAGTCCTCTGTGTGCTGGAGCTTGGCTCCCTGACTCAAGAGCCGCCAAGTGTGAGTCCCTAGCTCTGCAGGCGCCGCAGCAGGATCTGCATGAGGTCAAAGGTGGTGAAGCTGATGCCCACGGCGATGGGGCCCTTGAGCCAGTTCATGCTCAGGCCCTTGTAGAGGCCACGCACCAAACCCTCCTCCTGCACGATGGCACGCAGAGTGCAGGCGATGGAGGTGCGCGGGTGGCCTGTGACGCCGGCTGTCTGCATGCGCCTCCGCACCACGTCCAGCGGATACGAGGCTGACTGCCCTATGATGCCTGCGCAGGCCCCGAAGATCATGCGCTCGAAGGGGTAGGGCTGCCGGTGGCCACTGTATTCTGTGGGGAGGGCCAGGGGGGTGCTGTGAGGGTGCCGCGGGACCGTATCCCACACCCACAGGCACACCCGGCACCAACACACACTGCTACTGTGTTCCCCCTGCACCTTCCCACTTGGCTGCTTCCTTACCTTCTGGTCATTTTGTTTTTTAAGTTGAAAAATATCAGTTGTTTTTTTTAAGACAGAAAAGCACAATGAATCATATAACCAAGTCCAAAGCCCCAGAACGAGCTCCCAACGAATCACTCTAGTTCCCCGATAGTGAAGACATCGTCCACCACCCTGCCGCTCCCGCCCTCCCCAGCACTCCCCGCGCAGGCCCCTGAGAACAAACCCAGGATGCTGAACACCCAGCACCGCCTCCTGGGCCCAAAGGCTCAGAGGATGTGAAACCTACCAACGGGATTTATCCAAACATGTGTTGTAAATTTATAACTAGGAATTAATATCAGAGAGACCCCATCGTTCACTCGCCACTTTGGAAAACCATTAAGCGCCCTGACGGTACCACCTGAGGTGAACATGGGGACAGGGCCCCAGGGCAAGAGCAGCGCCCAAAAGAATAAAACCAAAAATGGGGTCTTACACTCCCCACAAGGAGACACTTCTGCATGTCCACCGATAACAGAAAATCTGCCAACGGCCTAAATGCCCCTCCTTTACCTTGGAGTGCGGGGGGGAGGCCGACCCAGGGCTAAAGGGGGAGCCACAGGCCAGCGGACCTCCCACAGGATGGACTCAGTACCAGCAGAGGCAGAGCTGCACTACCCAGAGGTGTGGGAGGTGGCTCAGCTCTTTACTTTTTACAACCAGGAAACAAGAGGAGGCCTTGCTCCTGCCACGCAGAAGCGCCCAAGTATTGGTAACCACAGAGAGGAAGCAGGTGGGATGGGGGCAGTGGTTACAGTGCTCTCTCTAGTTTTCAAATCCCTCCGAATTATCAAAACACAAGAGGGCACTCCCATTGCACCTTGGTCCCCACAGGCTTTGTGCAGGTGTCTGTGCTTGCACAGGGGGCCGCCAACGCTCTGGACAGCACACTGGACTTTGCAAGGCTGCTCTTAAAACTCAGCATTAAAGGTCATGAGTCTGGGTTGCTCGGGTATGGTGTGACGTCATGTGTCTTCTCTTGATTTGGACCCTGAGCTGGTGTCCAGGTCCACATGACCCATGCCTCACCCTGTGTCTGGTGTGCGGGTCCATGTGACCCATGGTGCTGCCTGCCCCTCCTCACCTCTGTGCAGGCTCTTGAGTGTCTCATATGTGAAGAAGCTCAGCCCAGCATAGGGGATGACCCCCAGCACGGTGGGCGTGAAGCCATGGTAGAGGGTCTTCAGCCCCTCTTCCCGGGAGATGCGGATGAAGACTTGAAAGATGTTGCTGTACCTGCCAGGAGAGAGGGACGGTGGGTAGGCGGCAGACTCTGCCCAGGGAGCAGCTGCCAGCCTCAGTCACGAATTCTCTGCTCCTCCTTCTCGGGCGGCATGGGTGGGCAGGGTATGGGCACTGGTGAGTTCCTTCTTCGAGGAACATAACTGCCTCGGGAAAACTTTGGCATTAGAGGGGAAATGGGTGCCCAGGGCCATACTCTGCCATCACCACTGGGATCATCTGAGTGTTCAGCTCTCGCCTATTGTTTCTGTGTGTTTTTAACCCATCTATGACCAATTCAAAATGAAGACTCTAGTTTGATGGAAGCAGAACAGACACCCTGGCTTAGAGAACTTCTTGGACCAGCTACAGAACAGCATGCCTGGTACAGCAGGGTCCACATGGCAGGGGTTGACAATACAGCTTCCTTTGCAGGCTAGACACTGAGGCCCAGACCCAAACCTGGGGGCCTGACAGATGGATTCAACCTGCGGGCCCCACTGGCCACAGAGCCCCTAGTGCTGGTGAAGGTCACCATGGTAGGACTCACATTTCCTTTGGGGTCACGGCCATGCGGGCTCGGACCAGATCCAGGGGGTAAGTAATTGAAGCAGCTGTGGTTCCAGCGAGTGCCCCTGCGAGGAGGCGAGGCCAAGGGGGCAGGGCTCTGAAAGAGGGAAAGGGGTTAGGAGAGATGGTGAGACCTCAAGGCCCGAAGAAGGGAGGCCCAGCCCAAGGCCCACAGGTCTCAGTGTGGTAGAACCAAGGACAGGTGGGTTGGCTTCCTGGTAGCTGAGCTAGTGGGGCCTCTCGGACAATTTAATCAGTGAATGATAGGGACTTTCCCTTGCAGCCCTCCTGGGTTCAGACATGGTGAGCATGTGAAAAGAAGACAGGTGAGCAGGCCCTGACTAGTGTGGCTCAGTTGGTTGGTCACTATCCTGCAAAATGAAAGGTTGCCAGTTCGATGCCTAGTCAGGGCACGTGCCTAGGCTGTGGGCCAGGTCCCCAGTCAGGACACAAGAGGTAACCAATTGATGTTTCTCTCCCTCTCCTCTCTTTCTCCCTCCCTTCCCCTTTCTCTAAGAATAAATAAATAAATAAAGTAAAAAGACAGGAGAGCAGGGTGACAGGAGAGAGTTGAGAGAGTTGGGGGGTGGGTATACGTGCTCACTCTCCATGGAAGCCATAGTAGCGGCCCAGGACTCGCTTGTACTCTTCATGTGCGCTGAACTGGATGGCAGCGTAGGGCACCACGCGCACCATGGTGGCCGAGTTCCCACGCCACAGGCTGAGGAAGCCCTCGTGGAGGTAGGTGAAATAGAGCAGCCGGAGGGCCTCCTGGAGCGGGGGGGGGCGCAAGGTCAACGCCTCCACCTGCCTCTTTCCCACTCTGCCTGCCCTTTCCCCTCCCCACTCCGTGAACACCTGGCCTTATTTTGTCCAGCTTGTGTCTGGGAGCCCCACCTCACCCCCCACCTTCTCTGCCCATGCCCAGGCCCCCGGTTCTGGGAACTGTAAAGTAACCAGATTTGCAAAACAGGCTCAGAGTCCCACACAAAGGGTGTCTAGTTGATGTCTGTCTGGTAGCCTAGCTTTGAAAAATATTCTTTTCTTTATTAAGTAACACTTGCTCTGTGTTCAAATATAAATCAAACATGAAAACATTGGTTTAAAACGTCAAGTCCCCTCACCACCGCCCCAAGGGTAGGTGCTCTCCTGTCGGTTCCCAGGGTGGGCTTCATCCAGGCGGAGCTCGGAGTGCCAGGGCTGAGGGGGAGGCCTCGGTAGCCCAGGCTCCTGGGAACCAGCCTGGGGAGGACCAAAGGGGAAAAGCCTCTCCCAACTTCCCAACCCCGAGCCGCCACAGACACCTGCCAGCCCAGCAGGGCAGCTGCTGCCAGCCCCAGAGAGAAGAGTTGGTGACCTAGTGGCTCACCTTGGCAGAAAATCTTTTTGAAGACACTGGAAAAAATACAAAGGCACACACACACAACACAGACCATTAGATGCGAAGGATGCGACTCCCCCCGCCCCCGCCCCAAGTCTGGGTAATCCCATTGTAGGAAATTGGTCTGAGCTGGGCAGTGACCACAGCCCCCTGAGAATGCCCGCCCCACCAAAGAGCTGAGTGAACAGTGTCCTGAGCGGGGTCACTCCCCTCCCAGGAACCTCCTTGCCCTCTGTGCCTGGCCCCTCTGCTTGCCCACTCGGCCCCAGGAAGGGGGATGAGCCACCATCTCCTACCCTCCCAAGCTGCCTGGCTGCACTGTCACCAAGGGCCGGAGCTACGGTGGCCGCAAGGATCCAGAGACACAGGCCATGAGGGTGTTGGTCTTGCAGCCTCCCCCTCCTCACTTCCTGAGCCTCTGCTGTGTTCCCGGGACACCTCTGCACTTGCGTGTGCGCAGACGTGTGTGCACCTGTACTGCCTTTAGAGTTACACGCAGCTCCCCGCAGGGTGCTACACTTCAAGTTTGCCAGGTAAAGATGCACCCAACATGGGGGAACGAACATGGAACGAACACAGGGGGGCGCAGCCTCATGCTTGCCCTTCCCACAGCCCTTGAGTTGATGTTACTGTCCTCGTTGTATAGAAGGAAACTGAGGCACAGAGAGCTAGGGGCCAGCTCAAGGAACAGGGGAGGTCTTCTCTTCCCAAAGAGCTGAGAGAGGGGCCCAGGTGGTGACCATGCTCATGCCCGGCATGGAGCAGGGACTGGCCACCATCTGCAGGATGGAAAGGCCTCATTTTCAGGGCACCCTGGGCCTGCTTAACCCCAAGGACAGAGAGAGATGGTTTCTTCAACTGTGTTCCCCAAAAACACATATTCATATCTTTACTTCCAGTACCCACAACTGGCCTTAGGCAGAAACGGGGCCTTTGCAGATATCATTAAATTAAACTGAGGTTGTACTGGAGTGGGGTCAGCCCTCATCTAACGGGTGTCCTTGGAAGACGAGGAGAGGACCCGGGCATAGAGGGGAAGGCAGAGACTGGGGTGACACAGCCACAGCCAGGGATGCCTGGGGCCTCCAAAGCTGGACAAGGCAGGAAAGCTCTCGTCCTGACCTCCAGGGGGATCCAACCCTGCCAGCACCTTGAGTTCAGACTGCCGGCCTCTGGAAGTGTGAGAATAAACTCCTGGTAGGAGGTGCCTGGTGTGATGGCCACCCCAGGATGCCAACAGGGTTTCTAAGTGGATTTAGGAAGCACTTTAAAAACCAACTTGCAGTACAGTTTGGGGGTGCTGTGGAGGAGGAGGGTGACCGCCTGGCTGTATCTCTATCACAGATGGACAGACAGCATTTACCTTGAAAGATGATTTTGGTTCGGTCCAAGGGAGCTACTGCCGTTTTGGCAAGAGCGCCAGCCAGGGCCCCGGACAAGAGGGAGCTGAGCACTTGCCTGTGATCACTCTGCAAGAAACACACACACACGGTCTGTTGTGAGAGAGGGAGGGAGGGAGGATCTGTTCCACAGAGTCAGCACTGGGAGGCTCCCTTGCCTCGCCTCTCCACCACCCCCTACCCTGGTCCAGAGCTGACAAGTGTCCAGCAGCTTGAGTATCATGGCCCTACTGGGCCCCACACAATCTGTGGCCCTTGGACACCGTGAAAGCCTCCCAGATGACAGGGACCACCCACGTGAGAAGCAATACCCCGCCTGGGCCATCCAGTGAGGTCCTGCGTTCCCAGGGGCAGCCCACAATGAGAATAACTCCAAACACAAGAGTCACCCCTGACCCGGTCCACTTACAAACCTTGGTCCTGCCCACCCGGGTGTGCTGGACCCTTGCATCGCAGTGTTTCGGGACAAAGTCTCGAGGACCCTTGTGGTGGTGGGGGGACTGGCAGGGGTATTGGGCAAGAGGATGCCGCCTGTGTCAGGACTTCAGGAACCAGTGTCTGTGGCTATTCGGCCAAGGCTAGGGTGACGATGCCAGTGGCCAACCCATATCACATGCTCCCACAACCGCCTTGGGGCCAGCACTTCCCTTGCTTCTTTTCTTCCCTCACATGTCCATCTGCGCCCTAAGCATCTCATCGGGTTGGAGTCTCCATTCCTCCAGCTGATTCTCACAAGCAACCACAGGGAGCATCCTGGAACATTCCAGACTGGAGATGCCCCTATCTTGCCTCAGCCCACAATGAGCGAGAATGGCAAGGGTCAGGTCATTCAGTGATCCCAGGAATCCATGAAGTCCCATGCAGACCAGGTGCCCTGGGGACATGCAGTATAGGGTGGGGGTAGGCATGAGCCCCTTGGCCCGCATGGGGCCACCAGTCTACGGAGAGAGCAAGACATGAACTAAATCTCCGACAAAGGCACACAGTCACCAGTCCAGGTAGCAGCTCTGCAAGGAGGCTGGCTTCTGCCCAAAGAGACATGGGGAGCCCCCATAGTGAACAGGCCATTTCCACTGTGACCAGAGAAGAGGCGGCTCCTGTGGCAACCAGGATGGAGTGGCGAGGCTGAGACCAGAGAGGGTGCAGCCAGGGGAGACTGCCAGGCATTTGGGGGTAAAACTGGCAGCTAGCTCAGGGCAACCCTTCGCCAAGTTTGCTCAGCTCAGTGGTGGCCCAGGGGTGCGGGGCTGGGCCCTGAGTCTGTCTGCACTCCTAGCCTGATTCTGACTGCAGTGACCAAAGGATGGCCTCTCTGGCCTCCCCTTTGTCCTCTCTGACACACTGAGAGCTGTCTCCTGGTCCAGGAGACACCCACTCCCAGATCCTCTCCCCTGTGTCCCAGCTGCTCCCAAGGGATGTGTACCCTGCAACCTGGCCTCCACCCTGCATGGCTCCAGCTCCTTCCCGTCAACACCCTAGCATGCCTTCTGCCTGCCTAGCCCACCCCTCCCTAAAAGAACAACTTCTAGAGCGGCATTCTTCCTCCTGTTTCTGAGGCAGAGCTTCACCAGAGGTTCCACCTGCTCCTTGCTTGACATGGGCATCACTGGGGACTCCAGCCTTTCCTGGGTCACACAGCAAGGTCCTGCTCATTGGTCCCATTGGTTTTAAGAGATGTGGATGTCAGAAGGATCAGTGGTACTCCTAGCACCAGTTCCCTGGCTCAGTTTCCTCTCTGTGAACCAGTGAGCAATGCTCACCCCTACTGTGAGCAAAGGGAATAGCCCACAGCAGCCCACATGCCTGCCCGCACTGGAGGCAAAGCCAGCGTGTCCTTTTCGCCTCTTTCAGCGGGTTACTCCCGGTACAGTCTGAGGGTCTCACAACTCCAAGGCCAGCTCTGCGAGTCTGGAACATGTGTCCTTAAACCCTACTCTCAGGGTGGCTCTGGGATGCTCTGAATTCACTTCCTGGCTCAGCATAGAGGGCTCTTACTGCCCACAGTAGTTTATTCTTTGAAGAGCTCAGGATGGGCATCACAAAGTGGTCAGTGTGCCTGTGTCCTGCATGGAGGGATCCTGCAAATGAAGTACGAGGCAGATGGTCCGATGGAGAGAACGGGGCCATCACGGCCTGGCCGTGAGCTCCACGAGAAGACTCTGGGCTTCTTAAGCAAAGAAATAGGATTTCCAGGGTGAGCTCCCACGTCAGGTTGGCCAAGAGGATCAAGACTGATGTCAGGTGGGTGGCGGGCACAGAGGAGGATGTGCACTGGGTGTCCAGGCATGTGATGGAATGGACAGATCTCTTGCTGGCCAGCCGAGGGGATGTCTCCCTCATGCTCTGCTGGGAAGTTCACACAACTGGGAGGGACACGCACATCTACTGCAGGCTCACCCTCACTGCCCCACATGGTGTGGTGATGGTGGCCCGACCCACTGGCCCCTGAACCAGTCCTCCCACCTGCCTGACTCTTTGCAGGGCCGTCTGGCACCTGGGAAAGGTCGGGAAGGTCGGGAATATTCTGCTGCACTGCCCAACCTCTGAGCTGGTGGACTCTCAGACCTGCTTGAAAGCACCTGAGCTGCACCCAGAGCTGGGGTGGCCCATCCTCACGGCAGACCCTGAGTTGGCCGAATCTTTTGTGTGCACAGATCTGAATGAGAAGAGGGCTTCTGGGCATCTTCTGATGTCTCAGCTGGTTTGGGGCAAGGCTTTGGCTTCTGGCCCAGTGCTCAGGGGGGCTGAATTCACATCAAAAGTGGGACTGTCAGCATCCCCCCCCACCAGTGTGTGTGTGGGGCCTGATATGTGATGGGTGCATATGCACAGAAGAGGGACCCATGAGGACACACACGAGGAGGCCAGGTACTTGCCTTTGAAGAGATAGGTGGGGACAGGATGGCCTCGGCATCCTCCTGCAATCGCACCGCGCCTTCCTTCACACCATTACCCATTCCAGGCTTCTGGGGACAATGGAGACTTGGTCCTGTGGAGTGAGGTGGACACGAGACGTGGTGAGAAAGGGCCTCCCCCATCTGCCTCACGCCCTGGTCACTCGAAACCAGAACCATCTGAGTGTGATTTTCCTAACCTGGTGTCTGTCTCCCTACAGGGAAAAGATGCTGCACCAGCATCCAGATGCCACAGTCCCCTCCACTGATGGCACAATCATTTACAAAAGCCTTTCTATTTGATCATCACAAAAGGCCTCTGAGTCATCTGCCATTTTAATCTCACACATTGCAATGGGGCAGGTGGGCTCAGAGAAGTCAAGTGCTCCTGGGGAGGTCACACAGCAGGAGGCAGGGGCACGGAAGGCTGAGAGGCAGAGCAGTGGGACAGCCAAACACCCACCGGGCTCCAGACAGCTCAGACCCGAGCCTCTGCCCACAGAAACAATTTTAGAAAGTGAATCTTTTCTTACTGTATGGCTGCCTCTTCTTTGTAGCCGATTTATAGCAAAGGGCCCTAATGCTTGAGGATTCCTTGCTGGGAACCTACATTTATCCTCTGGGTGGAAGCACACACAAAGCTCAGCCAACCGCAGTGAGGGGACCCAGAGGACAAAAGGGTAAAGGACAGGTGACATCAAGAGGCTACCATGCACCAGTGTCCTTTGAGGTCTCTGTTCCTATGCTTTAAAATGATCCAATGAATCAATACATTTTCCTGTATAATGATGCAAATGATGCAGATGTGCCCTGAGCAGGCCGGGGAAGTCCCTCTTGCCTCTGGGTCCTTCCAGTGCCAGTGTGGAAGGTTCTAGAAAGCACAAGTGGGATTCTACTTCACTGACCCTCTGCCATTGTTTCCTACTCAAAACAGGCTCTGGAAGGAAGCAGACCCAGCTGCTTTCAGAATGGAGCAGGAAACACAGGGACGGGCCCAGAGCCACCTGAAGTGCCCAGGAGAAACCAACACCCAGGGGGTGTGATTACAGTGCGTGGGGGCCGAGGTGAGTCAGAGACTTCCCAGTGGCCAACTCGGGAACAATCTGAGCAACAGAACCAACAGAGCAGTGCTGGGTTACAGTCCAAAGAATAAAATATCCCCACGAGTCCACACTGGTATAAATGAATGATTGAATGAATGATTGAATAAATAAATAGGGAGACAACTATCCCATCAGAAGAATCCCAAATAATTTGTGCCTATGCCGCACCCTCAAGGAAAGGGAGCAGGACTTCCCACCCTTAGGTGTGTAAGTAGTGACTTCCTCCCAAAGGGACAGGAAAGAGGGAAGAGGGCAGCTTTACAGAGAACCTGACAGACACCACCTCAGTCAGGGGGTCAAGGCCAACATCACAGTGAAGAGCCATGTTGACGGCATGTGCCCTGGTGTCTGTGTGATGAGAAGAGCCCTTCACATCTGTGGTTCCCCTCCCCCCACCTGTCACCCCAGTCCAGCCGTGAGAGAAACACCGCACACATTCCAACTGAGGGCGCCCTACAAAACACCCCACCAGCTTCAACAATGTCAATGTCACCAACCAAGGAAGACTGAGAAATTGTCTCAGCCCAGAGGACCCTATAGCACATTAAGGAGCCATGATGCCTAAATATTGTATGAGCTCCTGGGACAGAAAAGGGACATTAGGGAAAACAAAGAACATCTGAATAAATTATGGACTTTAGTTAACAGTAATGCATCAGCATTTTGAAAAAAATACAAACAGAGCCACTTTAAAATGGACTCGGAGCTGCCATCCCAGAGCACTGCCGTGCATGTCTTATGCCTCAAACCTTTGGAATGTTGACACAGGGCAAAACAGCCCTCAGAAGAACACTGTGTGCCAGACAACTGTTTGCAAGGATACCAACAAAACCAGCTGGACTAAAAATTTAAAACATTGTTTATAATTAGTGTCACTATGTTAGCTTATCTGCACCAATAGAAATGCATTCCTGCTATTGATGTCACGGCTCCCCTTCCTTTCTCATCGATGCCCGTTGCCTTGTCTCCTAATTGGAACATGATTTGCGTTTCTGCCTGAATCAGTGCTTTCCTAATGGCTGTTCCTTTTGATCTTAAATACATGCTTGTTGCCTTTCACTTTGGTGCTTTTTTTTAGATTCACAACTTGTTCATTAGTTTTGATCTACGTACCATACTAAGGTAAGATGTTAAAAGGGAAGAAGCTGCGTGTGTGGGGTGTAGGGCCTGTGTTATGTGTTGTGTAATTTTTCTGTAAATCTGAAGCTGTTCACAAACATAAACCAGGCCTCAGTAGTGTTTTCAAGGCAACTGCTGGGGAGTTGGCCTGTGGGACGCACTGAGACTGCATCACCCCCACTCTAGCACCTCCAGCTGTGGCTCATACCACCTCAATGCTCGAGGCCCTGGGGATCGTCCTTGCGTCTAGGCGCAGATGGTGCTGCAGCTTGTGAGCACGATGAATGTGAACACATTCTGTAGAACCTTCCTGAGGAAGGAGCCAGCCCTTTGCGTACCTGCAGTGGGTGAGGAGCCTGTGGCTGGGCTCCCTCCCCAAGCTCCTGCTCCAAGTTCCCCAGGAAGGTAGGTACTCACGGGCTCAGACCCCTGAGCTGCTCCTGGAGCCCACTGGACCTGATGCAGGACCTGCCCTGGTAACTCAGTACAGACAGCTCATTTGGGCCTCAGTGGGGTGGAAACAGTCAGAAACAAAGTCTGCACACAAACTGGTGCAGACCTGTAAGAGCGTGTCACTGCAGGTGGCAGAGGTTTGAGGTTGGTCACGAGGAAGTCATCTGCAGGGAGCTGAATGGTGGCTTCCAAAAGACATATCCACACAGAACCTACGAATGTGATGTTCTATGGAAAAGGGTCTTTGCAGATGTAATTAAGGTAAGAATCTTGAGATGAGATCATCCTGGATTTAGGATGGGCCCTAAATTCAAGGACAAGTGATCTGTTAAGAGACGGAAAAGAAGCCTGGGTTGAGCCCTGTCCTATGAACCAAACAGTCACTGGTTCGATCCCCAGTCAGGGCACATGCCTGAGTTGTGGGCCAGGTCCCCATTTGGGAGCTTGTGAGGTTTCTATCACGTATCAATGTTCCTTTTCCTCTTTCTCCCTCCATTCCCTTCTCTCCGAAAGTAAATAAAATCTTAAACAAAAAGAAAGAGAGTGACAGAGAGAGAGGGAAAAGGAGACCTAGAAGGTGAGGCTGGAGTGCTGCCTCAAGTCCCTAGCTGCAGAACTCCTGTGGCTCACAGCAGCTGGAGCTGTGAGGGACGATGCTGATGCCACGATATTATTGACTACAGCCCCTCCCTCCCTGAGAGCCTCTGCAGGGAGTGGCCCACACAGACTTTGAACAATTTTGAACATCTAACCTCCAAAACTTAAGCCACACAATTTTGTGGTGATTTGTTATGGCAGCCACTGGAAACTAAGCTAGGGCCCTTGTTAGGAGAGAACCTGGGGGGTGCCAGGGCCCCCTATACCCGCAGAGCAGGCAGTCGCAGCCTGACAGCTACTTCTGCCAGGACCCCTATGCCACCCTGCTCAGCTCCCCAGGATTGCAGGGTAGAGAGAATGTTCTTGCCCTGGAGGATTGCAAAAATGGAGGGAGGGGGTATCTCAGGGTTTCATCCCTCAGGCCAAATGCTAATTTCTCTAAGAAATAAAGAGCTCTTTGCTCTTTCAAAACAGTTTTTAAAAAACAAACAAACAAAAAACAACCAACAAAGACAAAATAAGGCAAAGAAACAGCCAGGTCACCTGAATGAAACAACTTAAAAATATGACAGGTGCCCACCTGTGCATGTGATGGGAAAGGCAGGCGCCACCCTAGGGAGGGCTGTTCGCATGTCCAGGGCCACAGTGCAACCGTGCGGCATGACAGGGTGTGGAAGGAGGGATGCCCAGGGTGGCACCTCTTTGCCTTAGGACATGTGCTGAGCCCCAACACTTGAGTACAAAGACCTGCGAGCCAGTAAGGCCACCACTGGCTGCTGGCCCCAGTGAAGGGGAGGAGGGAGACATCCCTGTCTTGTATGCCCATGGGAGACTGCCACCTAGGTTTTTACTGATGGGCAAACCGACCTGGGTCTGGTGGGGCGCTGCCAAGGGGTGAAGCACAGGAGCAGACCAAGCATTTGCAGTGTGCTGTCAACGGCCATGGGGACGTGCCGGATGTGGCAGGGGCCGAGGTAGAGGGGACTGGACTTTTCCTCAGTTATAGCTGACATATGATATTATATTAGTTTCAGCTGTACAACATATTGATAAGACAGTTATATAATGACAAAATGATCCCCCAATAAGTCTGTGCCCATCTGACACTGCACACAGTTGTTACGATGTTATTGACTATATAGTCCTATGATGTAGTTTACATCCCTGTGACTTTTTATAACTGGCAATTGTACATGCACTCACCAGTAACAGAGAGAGGACATAACCCAGGTGTGACTACCGCCCCCCCCCCCCAGCCATAGTGCCCTTCTGTGGTCAGACCCTCTCCATGCTCTCCACTAGTCTCCCCCCACAAACAGCCACATGATTCTGAATTCACGCACACTGGCCCCAGGGAGGCCTCCCCGCACTGAATTGCACCTCCTACTGCCCTGCATGGCATCCGGGTTCAGGGCAGTCACCAGGTCCCTTTGCCGCTGGTGTGGGGACACCCTGGCTGGGTCTCCTGTGTATATGACCAGCACCCCCAAGTTGGGACCCCTCATCTATGCTCAAGAACGTGGGCTCCTTGGCCATCATTAGCTAAATAGTGACCAATGGCCCACGTGGCCCAGGCTGAGACCTGGAAGGTCTCAGATGACACAAGCAACCCACGTGCCAGAGCCACCTGCTCCTGCTCTGACTTCCTTCAGCCCCTGCAGCACCTGCTACCCTTCCTCTCCCTGGAGCAAAAGGCCAGGGATTTGCACCAAGGGAGGCAACTGGGCAAGGAGGGCTCTTAATGTTCTTTTGTTTCTCTTGTACCTCATTCCTTCTCTTATTGCTAGTAATACCAAATTTCTTTCTTTTGAAAAAATGTTTTC